TCTCTCTCTCTCTCTCTCTCTCTCTCTCTCTCTCTCTCTCTTTCTCTCTCGCTCGCTCTCTCTTTCTGTTTGGCACGGTTACGTCCACCTCCTCTATCAATCTGCAGCAGACGCCAACGACAAAATTATGTTCTCAGCTACGGCAGCAGAAGCGCCAACAGCAACAACAACAACAACAACAACAACAACAACAACAACAACAACAATAACATTAGCGACATGATATCCTGACGAACAGGCAATCGATACCATCCCCTGTGCTTTGTCCGCGTTCCGGTCTATCCTTCTCTCTCTCCCTCTCCCTCTCCCTCTCCCTCTCCCTCTCCCTCATTTCTTGGCGAATTTTCCTGCAACTATCTCTGTTCTTTACGGTTATTTTCCAACTCAGAGGGACATGACCCCATCATTGTCGCGTGGAGGCACGGATGCCCCAGGCGCCAGAGGGAGCCGCCGCGACCTTTACCTCATGGACAAATTGTATCCCGAGAATCCCAACCTGGCCGCCACGGCTGGCTCTGCTACTGCTTCCGTTGCTGCTGGAGCTAGAGGTGCGCAACGGCATCAAGGGTCTATTGGGTACCCTATGCCGGGAGACGTCAGGGATGACACGCGCTCACCTCCTCCACAGTACGGTAACGCTGCGACGGGATTTCATGGGCAGGTGAGAGATGGCGAGAAGGGAACTTGCACCAATCTGGAGTAGCGAGTTTACCCTCATCTAGTCGATGTTATGGCGAGTACAGAGGGGGGCCCGGTACAGTGCAGGTGCCCGGTATAGTGCAGGTAAAAACTCTGGACACAGACAGCGCCCTCAATAGTGCAGGTCCTGTACTTTTGAGGATGGTCCCGCCAAAGTGCAGGTTGGGCACCGCGGTGCCCCGGAATAGTGCAGGTTGGACACACACACACGAAGACCAACATAACAATCAAGGAGGGAATCATAGCGTGGAAGAGAGCAAGGACTTCGAGCCAGATGACCTTCACCATAACAAACGACGCAGGGCCACAGAGACGAACTGCCGAAAAACAATTGCTGTGCAAATGGTGAATGATGATGGTGGTGAAAGCAAGGAGGAGGATGATGGTGAAAGCACTCCAAAAAGAACTAGAGTGTAAAGTAGCGACCTTGGGAGACGCGTAGCTTTCTTCTGTTGCTACCGGTTCTGTCATTTATTCGGAGAATAGCTTCGCCTCCCCCATGCCCCCCCCTCACGGGGTTCCCATTAATGGCATTTACAAGTGTCTTATGGTATCAACCGCACTGAAACTGCGTTTTTCGTTTGTCAGCCGGTTAGCGCGGTCGATGGTAACAATAAAGACCCCCCCACACACACGGGCAGCGGACAAAGTCAACACAAAAACGAGGGTACACGTGCTGCTGCAGACCCGAAGAGCGCTACGCAGAGGCGCACCATGCCGTGCGCAGACGGTGATCGAGCGATGATAGCAGCGCATTCCTCTAAGTGGGTGCGCCAGGCAGACATGAGGGATTTTCGCGTAGTGCGGGCGGGGGTCAACCGTGGAAAGTAGTGCTTGTTTGTTTTGCTGCAGTGCGCTTCCTGTCGTGTTTCTTTTCTTTTTTACTATTTTTTCTTGCAACATCGAAGGAGGGGAACGAGGACTGAGATCAGCTTCGTTAACTACGTATCAACGTAGAAGGGTTGGTTCGCGCGACCGCAGTTCTGGGTGTGCAGTACAGAACGAGTGCTGAGGCAGGAAGAAAAAATCGGTGGAACATGCAAGAAATTTTTCTACAACATCCCTGAGTGTGCGACAGGGGGGAACCACAACGCGTCGCGAGACAGTCTGCCCACGCTAAGACAGGGCCAAGTACTACTGTTATTCGATCCATTTCGTACCCAGTTATCCCCGCAAAGCGTGAGTGCCACACCATGAAGTCAAACGTCAAAATGTGCAGGACCTGCGCTATTGAGGGATGTTCGAAACCTCAACAGTGCCGAACATGCACTATTGAGGCCCTCTTCGGAGTAGTGCAGGTGCCCGCTACAGTGCAGGTAAAATTTCTGGACACACCTGCACTCTAGCGGGCACCCCTCTGTGCTGTAGTTTGATCGAATACTGGACTTATTGAGTAAATTGTATCGACGGCATTCGCCAGACCATTCGGAAAACAGGTCCATAGCAAAGACTAGAGACTTCCTCTTTGCATGGTTGCAAACGGTTACCTGTATTCCTAGGGATGGCGCTAGCTTCTTTGTGCGCCTGTCGGAGTGCATTCGAACAAGCACCCAGAGAGATCATTTGGCTCGTGGTGCTTCGACGCAAGGCATCAGTGCGGAAAAATATTCCGTACTTTCCACGGAACACATTTTTCGTCAAACCCGGTGGGCAACATGACGAAAGTGTGGAACGGCAACCCAAAGTATTTCCTCCCCCCCTCCCCTTCATCATGCGAGACTAAAGTCGTGAAAGGTGCAAGCGTTGCCACATAAAAAACGCGCAACATTCTCGCCGCCGCTTCCGTGGCACTCCAAATCTACAACGTGGTGACAAGATGAATGCGACCCATCCTCGCTAATCCACCCCTGCCCATCATGTGTGTTTCACCTCCTTGTACGAACGCAAATGCATGTAAACACGAAGGAGCCCGTGGTGGTCGTAACCGATGATGGAGATAGCTGTTGACTTGACGATAGCGGTCGCCGGCTCCCCAATACCAGCGTTCATCTTCCCAAAAACCCAAACGGAAGCAGCTGAGGTGGCAGGCGGCCAGTGCTTCCCTTCGTTCGGTTTGATTGCGTTTTCTGTTGTCGTTGTTTACACCCACAGCTCACGGAAGCAAATACGAGGGCCAAAACCCGGCCAAACGTTGGGAATCTTCAACTATCACGCATATGGGGCGCAATAAACCGACAGGAACTAACGATAGCTTCCTGCTGCCCCGGACCTCTCACACCTGTTCTTTGCCGATTTGTTTTTCCCGTCGATGACCAACAGGACCATGGCAATCAGGGAGAGGTGGTGCAAGGCGGGGGGAAGGCGCCATCGGAACGAAATGCGACAAAGGTGAGCAGGGACGGGTTGCATACTTTGACGCTCTCCCCACGCTGAGTTGAGCACATTTGCTGCCTGTTTTCGGGGCCTCACAGGGAGTGTTCCCTCTCTCGTCTTCGGTTTATAGTTCACATGTTCGCCTGGTAAACCTGTCGCAGTTCGTGATTTAGAGCATGGTCTCACAGAAATAAACCCCACCTGGAGAACGGGAGGCATAGAGAGTCACGCAACGTGTGCCCCCCCGACAGGGAGCGGCAGTTGGTGTACCTTTCAAACACTTGCCCATACCGCAGGTTCAACGTGTGTGTTGATGGACCAATCGAAAGACAGGAAAAAAGAAACATATTGATCCTGCTTGTAGGAGGGTCGATTTTGATGCCAGACATATTCGCACGGGAGTACAATGACAACATCAGACCTCGCAGGTGTCGTAAAAGTTGGCCAAAACCTACACGTCCGGTGCCTCGTATGACAGCATATGCAAAGGCATATCCTTGAGAACAGGCTTGGCGCACGCACATGTAACAGGGAATAGTCAGCCCGAATCTCGAACAGGCTGCGGCATTCTGTTCGAATCTGCAGAGGTTCTTCATGCTTTCTTTCAGTTAAACGTGGCACGACTCACGATGCTTCTCGATTGTGGCCTTCCCTACGGTAGGATAGCCACTTTCTACGGTGAAGATTTGAATGAAGATACGGTTTACTATTTTCCCGCCTTCTGCCTTCTGTGGTAACGGGAAGGTAGATATACCAACGATCGCAGCCTGACATTGTTAGAACCGTTGTGGGGTGGCAGGTGAACGCTGAGGTGCTGGTGGCGGTCACTCGCGCGGCTACCGGAGCGTGCATGTACCGCGAACAAGTGAGACCAAACGATTTTCTGCCAACGTATATGCCCCGTCTGTTGTTCTTCTCGTTCGCCGGAATGCCGACATTATCTACGGTAGCGACAGTCCAGTCTACGACACGGTAGTACTCGTGGCATGCGCAACGATGGGAGAGACGGAATAGTAGTAAGTGCAAAAGTTCCATCGCTGAGGGACAAAGGACACAAGGAAGCGGACAATGACGAAGAAAGCAACCAAAAATAGTTTGTCAGGGCCAGAAAAGCGTCAGGAATGTCTCAGTAGCAAGGGTTCCTCGTCTGGCCTTGCGCGAATGGCCCATCCCTCCCCCCCCGCGCTAGATCGGTTGTTCCCCCCCCTCGCACAACAAATTCTCCTCTATCTTGCCACCCGCTTACGCGAAAACCGTGTCTACATTTATGTGGTCGGGCTAGCTCCTGGCGAAACTACACGCCCTCGTAGAAGACTGGCCAACGAGAAGCCATGCCCATTCGGAGCGCCGTGGGCAGCAGCAGCAGCAGCAGCAGCAGCAGCAGCAGCAGGGACGAAGTAAAGGGTGAGTGCCGTAGATGAGTAGAGAGCATGAGAAATATGTTGTCAGGTCGAAATGCGACTGGGAACTGGGCGTGGTCCTGGACGCACAGTAGAAAGGTGATCACGCACAAAGGGGTCACTCCACTAGACGCCGGGTGGGCGATCGCCATCATCTGCCGCCCTGATGAGATGCGCTGCACAAAGCGCGAAGCCTGAGACCACCGAAAACTCACCAGTAGTCCCCATCAAAATATCCGATGACTAACTCAATCAGTACGAGTTCCTCTCTACTCTCTTTCCGGAGTATCTGCGTCTAGCCTCAAGAATTTTGTATGCGCGACCGGCAGCACCGCAACCGCCCCGACATTTCCCTTTGTCGTACCCATCGCATAGTTTTTTGCTTTTCGGACCCTTTGTAAGGAAATTTTTCTTCACCCCCCCCCCCCCCCCCCCCCCCCCCCCCCCCCCCCCCCCCCCCCCCCCC